ATTGACGTAAAAATTTGAGAAATAGTCATGGCTACATATTTTTGGCCAGCACTGTATGTGTAGTTTAAGATATACACATTTGATGTGCATGGGAGAATATACTTGCATACAATAAGCAACGATACGTGTGCAAAGTATCAAATTTCAGGCATATTGCAAAACCATTACCAAGTTTCATTAAAAATAGCCGTGTTAACCAAGGATTTAGCCTCTTTTATATATGCTAATTGCTTCGCTTTAAATACGATACCTGTCGTTTTTGACGCTTGTGTCTTTTGCTCGCAAGTCACCATGGCGACCAAGTCTTTTAAGATTATGTTCTTGGGAGCCCCCGGCGCCGGCAAAGGCACATATGCGTCCCGTATTGCGCCCATGATGCATATTCCAACCATCTCGACGGGGGATTTGGTGCGCCACGAGATTAAGACTGGAACTGCGCTTGGCGCCAAGATCGAGGCATACAATAACAGCGGTGCCCTTGTGCCCGACAAGATTATCCTGGATATGATGGAGACTCGCCTGGCACAGGACGACGCAAAACGTGGCTTTATTTTAGACGGTTTCCCGCGGAATGTGCCACAAGCTCAAGCATTTCAGCATGTGACCGAGTTGGACCTGGTGGTGAACATTCATTTGCCTCAGTGGATCCTTTTAGACAAGATAAGTGGCAGAAGGTTGGTCGTGACACTTAATAATAACATGACGTAGGCTAAAGTTGTCGGTACGATTGACAGGGTGTGCACGAAATGTGGCTCCGGTTATAATGTGGCCTTTATCAAACATGGCAAATATCACATGCCCCCGCTACTGCCCAAAGTTGATGGAATTTGTGATTTTTGCGGTGCGGCATCACTAGTGCAGCGTCCAGACGATACACCCGAGACGGTAAAGCAGCGATTGAAGGTGTACAACCAGGAGACGGCACCGCTGATTGATTTTTACACCCAGTTAGGCAATCTTAGGACGTTTGAGGTGAAGAAAGGACTAGCGGATCTTAGTAAGCTGGTAGATCTTATAAACAAGAAGCTTTATGCATAAAATGGGCAAGTGACAGAGTGCTCATGTTCTGCTTGAATACATTAAGCGATCGAAACAGTGAACTAATGAGTAATTATGAATCAGAAAACAATTCTGCTTCTGTCTATTCAAAATATAAGACAGATTCAAATAGAGCTGTCAATTCTTGATACTATGACGCTTATATATGTGCCGTACTTTCGTGATGCTTACCATAAAATATATCCAACCGAACAGCAGCATAAAAATGACAACTATGGGCTTTCGGATTACCTGGAAGACGACATGGTGCAGATCTAACTAAGCAATTGTCGTATCAATATCGATATGAAGGAGAAATCATCTTGCTGGTAAATTGACTTTTGCGCTGCGACAAGTATCGGTGCAGCTCATGTAACGAAGGCCACATTTTGACACTACTGAACACCTCTTGTGGCCATACGAGTATTACCGATCGAGTTCGTATTACGTATGCTATTTAATATTACAGCTTCCTGGGTGGAAAATATGGGCTATAGACTCTATTGTTTTGTAAAAAATGTACGCGATATTCCTCACTGTGTTCTTCCTTCGATAATTTTGGCGCGTCGTTAATTGGAAAGGGTTCTGGCAGTGGACAGCCATATTACAAACTAACTAATTTTCGAATTCTGGTCTGCGACAGCCACCTTACTCGGATCTTTAGATCTGATGCAAGATGAGAGAGACGTATGCTAACAATTTACTCAAACTTATCATATAAGATTGTAGTGATTGCAACAAAATTCTGGTGTCAAAAGACAACAATAAATTCTATAAACTTTGATAATGATACGATGCCACCTGATACAAAACTTTGATGTTGAGTTCATCCGCAATCACTGATGCTGCACAATTTGCCTACTTAGAGAGCGATACTATATATACTCTACTCAAGAAAGATTCGTACTTCGATTGATGTGCTAAACAATGATGCTAAAACGCCGAGATAAATTCATTAAATGTTTTGAAATAGATGTGAATTTCTCAATATTTTTTATCAGTTAACTTTCAACGAGAGGTAAACTTTGTCATTCTGGAAAATTTGAATCTGACTAATTATATGTTCTTTGAGCGATATTATTACAAGTATATACTGCTCGTAACTATCTGATTATATTATACAGTATCTCGACTGAACGTCACCGATAATACTGTCAAACGTGGACCCATTACATTACAACGTCCTCAGTATCATATAAACACGATAAGCACGCAACACAAGTTGGACAAGCTCTATTATATATACAAGTACTTCGACTATCCAAAACCTGTAGCTCTTTGTCCGTATTGGACCATCCCAACAGAGCCAGTACCACGAAGTTACCAGCATTCAGCCCAGGCGACAT